GACGAAAAAACAGTAGAAAAAAAAAAAGGTGGTATAAGGAGAGAAAGTGCGAGAAAGCAGAGAGGTAAGCAGGAAATAAGAAAGATGTACAGCACCTTATAATGCGCAAGCGCTCAATTACCAACCGCCCACCTCCCAGGCCGGGGCGCGACGTGCGCGACTTCTGCCCCGTCTGTGGCCACTCGTCCACCCGCCCGTCGCCGCACTTCGAGCAGCTCGAGGCTCTCGTCGCGTCGCTGCACGGCACACTCGAAGCGGCCCGCGGCCGCCACACCGCCATATACTTTGCCGAGCGGGCAGAGCAAGCGTGGGGTGAGTGGCGTGGCTGGCGTGCGGCGTTCTCGTTTATGCCGCCTGCGACCAGCCAAGTAGTAAGAGGGAAGGCGTGCAGGCTGGTACGTAGAGAGAAAACCGTATTTCTTTTTTCTCTGGAAAAAATTCGCTCTGGGGAGGGGGTCCAGCGATTTCTTTTTTCAGAGAGGTGTGAACGGCGCCTAGAGAGGCCATTCTTTTTTTCATCAGTTTTTTCCGAGGTCAGTTTCTCTCTGGATCAGTTTTAACCAGCTGCACCAGTCGGCACCAGTCCCCACCAGTCCCCCCCCGATAGACATGCACATGACTCGACGGGCTGGGGCCCTCCCCGCACTCAGCCCGTCAAGTGCGCCCGGCACCCCGTCGGCCCAGGCGACGGGCGACGGCGGCGCTCGCGACGTCCGAGCGCTAGCATCGCGCGGCCGGATCGGGCCTCCTCAAGCCCCGCCGCCCTCCGTCCTCCCTAGGCGTGCAGCGGGTCGTGCACGCGCGACGGGCTCGGGGTCCGCTCGGGCGGCGCGGAGGCGGCGCGCTTGAAGGAGCCCTAGGTGGCGGCAACGGTGAGCAAGTACGGCATCACTAAGAGCGAGACAAGGAGGATCATCGACTTCTATTCCGAGCGGAAGCAATCTCCAGAGCCGAGTACGTGTATGCAACAGTCGTGAAAGGTGTGCGAACTGTCTTAGATCGATTAAGGCAGTCGCACTGCTCCAGATCCCGGGAGTCAAACTCCAGAATTTCTTTTTTATTGCTAACCTCCGCGCCGGTGTTCTGCAGCACCTCGGGTGCGCCGCATCTCTCTGCCCGCCCTGCACCGCGCGCGGGCGCGCGTCACACGAGCAGCAGATTCTCAAAATCCCCTCGCCGACCCCCGCCCGCCTCGCCCCTCCTCTCCACCACTGCCTCTCCGCCCTGGCGGCCGGCGGCGCTGGCGGCGGCGGCGTCGTCTGCTGCATCGGCAGTGGTTTCGCCATGCCCAACGGCGGGGCCGTCGCTCCACCCTCCGCCGCGCAGCCGCGCCGCTCAAAAACCTCCTCCTTCTTCACTCCCCGCCGACTCCCCTCCCATCCACCTTCGCGGGGGATTCGCTGTTTGCGTGGACGCTGCCACTGCCGCTCACATCACCGCCGCTCCCTTCCAGCCCACCCGTGCCCTCCCACCCGCACCACCGCCGCCTCCCTCTTCCCTCGACCTCCTTGATCCCACCGCCGCCTTCGCACCTTCCTTCTCCATCTCATCCTCTACCCGGCCTTCTGCCGCCGTTGCCGCCTGAGCCGCTGCGGCCACCGCTTCCGCCGCCGCCGCCGCCGCTCCCTTGCACACACACACCTACCCCCCCCCCCCCGCCGCCTCCTCCGCCGCCCTTCCCTCTTCCCCAGCGCCTCCTCTCCCCTCGCCGCCTTCGCGCCTTCCTTCTCCACCTCGTCCTTCTGCCACCGCCGCCGTTGCTGCTGCTGCCGCTGATACTGCCACCGCCTCTTCCTTCCAACCCCCCGCACGCACCGCCCACCCATCTCCCCCGCCTCCTCCGCCGGCCCTCCATCTTACCCAGCACCTCCCCTCGCCGCCTTCACGCCTTCCTTTCGCCCTCTTCGCTCTGCCCGGCCTGCCGCCGCCGCCGCCACTGCTGCTGCCGACAGAACCCCTCCACAAATGTGTGTATCTCCTTTAGGCCGTATAACTTCGCGCCCGGTGAAGCGCGGCGCTCTCGACAGCCACATCGGAGCACGCCGGTTTGACATTCGCTCAGCGAGCGGCGACTCGGCTTCGGATGTTGTTGTTAGTGGCGTTCTTGACAACAGGCCTGACCCAATGCCTCTCCACTGGCGAATGCCCAATGCCAAATGCAATGTGCCAGGCAAACATCCACTGCCGGGAAGAAGCGGCGAGCATCGCCGACTTGGCGCGGCATCAAGGCATCGTCCGGTCTCTCTGTGCGTCCATCTCGTGCCATCAAGAGGCCATCTCAGTCTCGAAGCGAGGATCGAATAAGCGCTTCGATGCTGCAGTTTCGCGCGCGTTGGCGCAAAAGTCTCTCAAGGTTCTCTTCATCGGGGACAGCGTCACCGTTGGGGAGAAGGACTACACGACAACCAGCGGCGGCTTGAAGCAGGTGCGGTTCGGTTACGTGAGGCGATTCGCTGACAGACTCGCATCAATGCTCGATCCTCATGCTGAGGTCGTCGTGAAGAATACGGCTGTCTCCGGGAAGGGTGCATTCTACCATCGGACGTGTGGCCTGGCCCAGTGGAGTGACACCTTTACACCGGATGTCGTTGTCATCCAATCCGTGCGGGAAAACGAACATGAGGAAGACGAACGCCTTGTCCGACAGTTGCTCGAAAGTGGCGCGGCGGTCGTCTTGCTCAATTGGGTGACGCTGGATGCGGTTTTCAGCTCGTCCACGGGCAACCTGAATCGACAGCATACCACCGACGCCCTTTTTCGACGGCTTGCCCACCACTACGACCTACCCATTGTCGACATCTCGCGAGTCGCCATCTGGAACGAGGCGTCAGACATGGCCAACTCGTCGACGTGTGTTGGAAAGAAGACGAGCGCAAATGGAGCCGGCGAGGTGAGCCTGACGAGAGCGGGCTCGCTGGGGCTACCTCTGTACGCGGACATGGTCCATCCCAATGCCGACGGCCACGCGCTGATTGCGTGCATGCTGGGACAGCTTTTTGAGAACACGTTTGTGCAGGAGCTGCACGGCCACCAGGAGGCAAACTCGATTCAGCAAGATCGACGCCCCCTTGCAGCGCCACTCTCGCATCGAATGCGTCATCAGGACACGCACGGCCAAGTCGCCTGCCACACCGTGACCAACGAAACAGGCGGTGACCTTAGGCCACTCGGCCGAGTCTCCGGTTGGAGAGTTGAGACATTTAATCGACATGGCATCACAAAGAGATCTTGGGTGGGCTTTGGGCGTCGGCAGCTGCATTGCCTTCCCCGTGCCGCCAGCTTGCACCAATCTGTGGCTCGAGACTTACAAAAGTGCGACACAAGGCTCGGCAATCCTCCAACTCGACGGCGAATTTCGTCGCGTCATTGAGGCAAACGAGGTGCCGAGGTGGCTAGGTCCCGGACGTGGTATCCCCATGGTAGAATTCGTTGGCGTGATCGATCCGTTGTTTTCGCACACGCTCACGATCGTCGTCAATTTCATGGCCAGCACACCGACTTCAAACCACCGCACCCAGAGCAACAACCCCGTGTTCCAGGCCATCAGCCTTGTATGCTCCTAGCAACCCTTTTCCTGGCCCAGAAGCTAAACCTAAAGATGTTCACTGGCCCTCACACAGAGGGCCCTTGCTAGGGGGCCCACAGCGCCCCAAAATCCACCAGTGTGGGGTTTCGCGCAATCGCTTGACTCTGAAAAGCTCGCATGTACCTCCTGCAAGCGCTGTGGTCGCCGCAGACTGGCTCCGACTTGACGGCAGCATGGAGACGTGATGCCTCCATGCTGCCGTCAAGTCGAAATCGACATGCGAGTCGATCTTTGGCCCGCCAGAGGTACATGCGGCGTTTCGGGCGACCACAGCGCTGCGACCGCGAAGTGGCGGTGGACATGCTCCCATGTTGCCGACGCGGCGCCGGAGTGGCCGGCGCAGCTCGCCGCGACCACGACGGCTACTCCGATGCTCCGGGCCGACCCGTCCTACCCGACGGTGGCACTCTTCCACGTTTCGCTCACGCTGAGAAAAATTCTGAGACGGCGTGCAGCAAAGTCGCCGACGAGTCGGTCCGCGTGCCTCCCCGTGTCGCGCATCGTTCTCACCCATCCATAAACTCACTTTGGCCTCACTAAAGCGAAGTCTGAATCCTTAATCCTCAAATTTTAGATTAGGACGCTGTGGGCCCTCTACCCTTGCGGAAATCCCCGCAATGCGCAAAGCACCGGCGAGGGTGGGGGAGGGGTAGCTCCTTGCCAAGTAGGTAGTAGCTCCATCGCGACTCCTTGGTC